CCTGGAAGGACATCAGTGCCATCACACAGCACATGCAGGACAACCAAGCGATCAGGCCCAGTCAGCATGGGTTCAGGAAGGGCAGGTCCTGCTTGACCAATCTCATCTCCTTTTATGACGAGGTGACCTGCTTGGTGGATGAGGGGAAAGCTGTGGACATTGTCTACCTGGACTTTAGTAAGGCCTTTGACACCGTCTCCCACAGTATCCTCCTGGAGAAGCTGGCTGGGTATGGCTTGGACGGGCACACGCTTTGCTGGGTCAAAAACTGGCTGGATGGCCGAGCAGAGAGTTGTTCCGAGGATCTCCGTACATACTGGTGGCAAATTCAGATTTTAATTTTCTATGTTGAGGAAGATTAATCACAAGCATAAGTGTGGAAGTCCGGTTCAAACAACTATGCTTTACTGACTGTGCACGTTAATTCTCATATGGAAGCTCATAGAAAATTCTCTTGGCCAGAAAAAGCCTAAGTTTCAGTGCACCTGTCTCTGAGAGGCTTTCTGTAGCATCACATCTCCCTCAGCCTCTCATTTCTGGCACGTCTTGACTCAAATGTAGGGTACATACAGAAGACTTTGAAGTGCTAAAAGGTTCTTTGATATGGTGCCATAGCAATTTATTTACTCCAGTGCTGCCTCAGCTACCTAAACTTAAGGAATTAGATGGGATGCAAGATTTTAGCGTTAACTTATAAAAATGCAAATGATCTGGAATTAAATTGCTCAGGAACTTCACTTTCCATCATACAGTGATTAGAAGCACCTGAGATGGAGTCCTTTCCCATGGCACAGCATCCCATCTGAGTGACTACTGGACTGGGAGCTTTTGTACTTCGCCTGCTTTTCCCACCTCCAAAGAATCTGAAGCACTACAAAGCCCTTACCTTCCTCCCCGCTCTCTTTTCAAGGGGGAAGTGACCTGAAGTGCGGATAAGATTTCTGAAAAGTCCTTTCTGTTGCACTTCACATTTTTATCTGTGGTATATCTGCCCAGGACATAAAATGGATATCCAGGGCTTGTTTTGTACAAGAAAATAAACAAATAGCTTTCAGCTTTGTCTCCCAGCACACTTCTTGTGAGACCTCAGGACCTTTACTTCCCCTTCTTGAACTCTTCTGCTTTTGAAAAAGTAATTTGAAAAATCTCCCATTGCTGATTTTCTGCAGGATCTTCAGAAGATTATAGCACATGAAGAAACACAAATTTCATTCAAGGTGAGAAACCAGCATGATTACAATTCATCGTCACTCAAGCACGTAACAGAAAGATTGCATCCCTATGTCTCTTTTTCCCTGAATGCTGTGTGTAGCTTAAAACAGAGAAGTTACTAACTTTGCCTTCTATATAACCAATCTTATCACCAGACTCATCTAGATTATAAGTCTCCCATTAGCTTCCTTGACATAAGAGACTTAAGCTTCCCATATGTGCAGCACATCTCTCCTTGTTTGTAATTTCCTTAAATCATCCATAAATTTCCAGATCTTATTGACCCTTTCACTACCTTTTACTGTTTCCCCCCTGAGCTGAAGCTTCCTCTCCTTCCTCACCTCTAGAGATGTGCAGAATTCTGTACATGCTTTGTTTGCTGCCTGCCTCCCGGTTTAATTTTACTGTGGCCTCAAATTTATCTTCATCTGTTTTTTGCAGAAAATGCTCAGTACCTTGTCTGTATGACATAAAAATGTACAAGGTACAAGGGAGGTGCAGAAACGTAACTGAGAACAGAGGATTTGCTCCCGCATTTGCTCTTGTGATACAGAGTTCTGAGACTGTAAAACACAAACACACCAAAACCATGCTTTGATGTAGTATGCAATGTGCTTGATGAAAAGAATAAAAAAAAGCTTTCCACTCTATACAGCACTTCATAAATATGCATTTATTTCCTCATCTTTCATCAGTTTTACAGTTTTAACCAGTGCCTCAGTGTTAATATTTGTCAGAAGCATACAGTGGAACTTCAGCTATTTCTGCAGTTCTAAAGTTAAAAACAAATCCATGGGCCTTTCCATAATGAACTGAGCCAAGAAATAATGAAACTAATTTCTTATAACATATTACAGAGTTACATAAGATTTCAACTTACATTTCTATCCTACTTCATGTACTGTATTTACATAGTCAACTAATTTATTATTTACATTTTTCAAATACTGTAGTCATAAACCTTTTTATATTGTACATTCTTGTTTAATTTTTTTATTACAGAAATTCTTAAACACACATTTTAGACACTACAATTTCAGTATTTCACGTGAGTACTAGGAAATTACTGCCTGTTTTCACTAGAAGTGTGTCAAGATGCCTCCTTCATAAGAAAATACATATTACAAAGGAATTTTATAATCCTGAATCTTGAATTTTGAAAAAAATAAGTACATGGCATGTAATAATGATGGCATTATTTATTTTTCTATGTAATATTTTGTTTGGAATGACATTTTACCTGAGATGTAGAATTGTTAGATGTAAGGTTTGTTTGGTTTTTTTTAATAAAATGCAATACATTACGTAGATCTTGAAGTGTTGAAAATTTGACATTTTACATAAATGTTGGCCTTCTATTTACTGAAAAATATTCATCTCGGTATAGATACATAAACAGTAGTTATCTATCTATATCATATTTTTCAGAAAAGTCTTTATCTACATAAATAAGCATTGTTATTAGGAAACTTCCTACTGTCCTTAAAAAGCACTGTGCTCAAGTACAATATTCAACTTCTGACACAGACACAATAGTAAATGTGACCTCTAATGGTAATACTTTCTTCCAGAGGAAGTAAGAGGTACCTGTTGGATTTGGAAGACATGGCAGACAACTTATGTGGACCCGATGAAGGAAATTTTATATATCCAGTCCCATAAATGTTATGTAGGAGCATCTGACACAGCAGAAAACTTTGGGTCAACTTTCCATGTCACGTGTAACTACCTAAATAACATCTTAATAGAAAAAGTTAATTCTACAAAACCCTTACAACATTGTACATTTAATGCTGTGTGTCTTCTCTCGTTACAATAATACATATTACTATTAACAAATGATTGCAGATACTAAGTTTAAAGCAAATGGTCATAAATTTCAGGTTTCTTTTATTCTGTTATTGGTAGACACTCTGTTAGGCACAATATGACATTCTTTGTAAACATAAAATTCGATACATTAGACCATGAACTGAAGTTACAGAAAACGGCATAAGGGCATTAAAGAAACACAGATCCACTACACACCCGAGGCACAAATGCAGCAATCCAGGAGGCCTGAACTTGCATCCACCACAACCAAAACCCTCAGCTGACGCCAGTGGAACCGAAATGCATCCTAGTCACCAGACACTCCTGCTTTTGAATTACTTCCACGTTTTCCTCTTCTACCAAAGGCTTCACATAATCTTAAAACACAGATCTCATAATCACATGTTGGTAAGAATGTCTTTTATTCTATTTACCCTGAAACACCTAATTATTATCAAGTCAGTGTCAAGATCTAAGGCCCCTAAAACAAGTAATGTAACAAACACATCTAGAAAGCTTTCTTTAAAATACGTATCTACATATTTTTAAGAACTTGAAAATAATCTTCCAATAACAAATTATAAGAGAAAACTTCTTGAAGATCTTTTATTTCCTGAACTTAAAAGTGCATTACACTGTTCCTGCTACGTTGTGCAACTTAAGAACTGAACTGAGGAATAACAATTCTGAGCTTCCAGTATATTGCTTATTGCAGCTCTCACCCTTAATAACCTGTATGTGTAGGATAGGCACAAATTAATATGAGTTATTTGCATCCAATCGAGCAACAGTAGAAATCTTATCTGAAAAGATTTCTTGAAAATAAATAGCTCATTTAAATTATATAAGTTTTGAGAAATTATTCGGTATGCCATGATTATATGAAGAAACATTAATTTCATTCAATAAAGTCACAGAGGATTTTTATTCTGCTAATGATGCAACAGTGACTGAGTATATAGTTACTGTTACTGTTATTGGAAACCATCTTCTCTCTTCCTTCGAATAATCAGGAAAAAACAGGTATTAAATTATTTAACAAATAAGCTTTGGAAATATATTAATTTTCCCTTTCTAACATGCTAGAAATGAAGAATAAGGCAACAACTGAGATAAAAACATATTTTGCTTTGTAAACCAAACTTAAATATGTTTCTTGAAAGTGAACTTTCATGCTAAAAAATTCAAAGGCCTTGAAAGAAAAGCTTTAATTACTTTGACAAGACTACATCTTCTATTTCATTTGATATTTTAAAAACACTCCTAAATATATAGAGAGGGATTTATTTTAGTGTTACAGATGAGTCTTCGGCTTTGAGTAACCCCATTGTATGGCTAAAAAGCTCCTACACCACCCTGCAACACTGAGTAACACTTGGAAAATGCCACCCATTTTGATTCCAACCTTCTGTATTCTTACATTAACTGAAGTATTCTAACCTAACTCCACAGAAAAACAACAGATGGTGTGTGCATATCAGTGTCTTCTGAGTTATAACCAGACCTCAACACACAGGCCTTGCTGTCTCATATGGTCTTTACGACTATGAAAAGTCCTTTTTTCCCCACTCAAAGTAAATAACGTTTACTGACCAAAACGGGCTGATAAAGCCATGGCAAGTGACATAAAATCATTCCATAAGCAGTTTTAAGTCTTATTCAAAGTTGCTTGACATAAATCAGACAGACTGCAATTCTCCTAATTAGAGAAGGGAAAAAAGAAGAAAATTATGTGATAGACATCTGAACTCATTTTTGATGCTGAGCAAAAAAGTTCACTTTTAAGTTCACTCAATGCTCAATATCCTGCTTTGTCCATTTCTTTGGTATTCTGTTCTCATTCTGCAAATTCTAACAGAATTTTAATGGTCATCTTAATTCAAACGAAAGAGCAATGAGCTGAAAGCACAACCAGAACAACAGATGCCATAATACTGCAAAACACATTGGTCTTAATGATTTCTGGCTCTTTATATTCATTTCTTGTAATGATTGGGGGCATCTGCAAATGCAAACTTCAGTCTGTAGGCCTCTGCTAGGAGTATACTAATTTCTTCATTTCCCCAGTGTACTGTGGGCAAATTTTGTAAAAATATCAGCAGTTCCTAGATGGAGAGAAAAAAAAAAAGGAAATAAATATATTTTTTCAAATACCAGTTTATTAGCAATGTATTACTTATACAATGATTATTCATAAGCAATCCCTCATGTAGCACCTCAGTATCCCAAACAAACCTGAGATCCCATTAAGTTTAGTGATTTTCCTATAACTTTTCTAGAAATACTTGCTATACCATCCTTCAGTTCAGAAACCATTTCTTAATTGTAGCTGAACTATGGTTATTTTCTGGTGTTCAGAAAAAACAAATTAAACAAAAAAAGGACGCGAACTCACTTGCTCTGTATGTACTAAGAGCGAAAGAATGCATCACTGCTGAAATGAGAGGTAAGTTCTCTGTACCCGCACTTGCCCTTGTATGATTATACCTCTACTGCTGCCCCTGCACAAGGACAGAGACCCTTTGTTGTCCCCAGACAAACAGGAACTCCCACGAAATGTATCAGAACCACTCCGTTAGACTTCTCAGAGGTAAACAGTGTTAGCATCTCCACGTTATAGCTGGTAAACTTCTAGAAATGTAATTTTGAGCTCTGTAAGTTCAAAATGGTTTAACACAGACCCAGTCTTCTTTTAGATTCGCGGTATTTCCTACATTATCTTAGCACCTGTATACATCTTACACACTGCCCAATTCCAACCAAGCTCTAAAGTTTTCAGATATCAGTTTGCATATAGTTCTTTAAAAATTCCACATGTATCTTCCACATTTAAGACCTTCAACCTAATTTTACTTTGTCATATTTGTTGCCCAAATAATTCCAATAATCCTATACTAGCTATGAAAAAGAGGAATACCCACAAGAGGAGTATCTACAGTTCCTCTTTAAGAGGCTATAAAACAGTAATTTCATTTTTAATACCTCAAATGTTTTTATAAACTCATTATCAGGTGGGTAAAGAGGCAGACAGCCACAGATAAAGCAAAGTTGCTGACTTCATTGCAGAAATGCTAAAATTCTCTTCCCTACTGTTTTCACATGCAAGCATAATGAATATCTGACTACTTCTGGTGCTGCTCCTCTCTAGGTGTGCCTTGTATATAGTACAGCAAACAACAGTTTCATTTCTTTCAAATTTAATTACATAGCAATAAAAATAATCAATAAAAGCAGTTTCAAATGATGATTTTAATTGAATTTGAAAAGGTACTAAAATATGGATTCCTGCTTTTGCAGGGCAAACATTTTATTGTAGCAACATGGTATGAGCAAATATGCCCAATCTTCTGTTGGCCAAAACCCCAGGATTGTAGCTCTACACTGAACTGGGATGCACAGGATCAAAACAAACAAACACCCGAAATACTCAGACTTGATGAAAAAGATTCTCTAGGCCAACTACTAAATTAATGCTTCAAACTTTTCAAACAAAAGATCACCTGGAGATGCCTTGTCTCATGCTTCTGACTGCTTTGACAAAAAAATTCCTTAAAATTTAAGATGTGGCAAAGCAGCAAAAGGGAAGTTTTTGGATAAGTTATATCACAACAAACTGAAAGTGGAATTTTATGATGTTAACCCTGCTTGTATCTCCTAAGTGCTCTATTTTTATGTGTATTTGTGCACATTTTGTATATGTGCATATATTTGTGAGCATGTGCATATGTATGCTTTTGCATTAATATGTTAAGGTTTATTCTAAAGAGCAGGAATAAGTAAGCAGAAATGCAATTAAACCCACAGCCATTATTCTGGTATAAATCAGAATCCTGCAATATCATGTATAAGTACACAGCGAAATTCTTCTTCTTCATAAAAGTCTGATTTTTCTTGTTCCTCCTTCTCCCATCTCTGCACCTGCTTTCATGTAATATGACTGCAGGAGTCCTTAGCAAGGATTCAGTGACTTCAGGAAACAGCAAGGAGAAAAAGTGAACATGAAATGATTTTTTTGTGCGTGTGAGAGAAAATTACTTTGACTTAATCTATTTCATGGTCTTGCTATATTGGCTCTTCTAATACAAAGCAAGAAGGGATGGTAATTGAGCAGTACTATATAGTTAATTACAAATAAGCAGTAATACAAAAGAGTTAGCATGAGAATGTCTCTATCACACTTGAGAGAGCACATTTTAATAAAGTGTTATACAACTGCCCAAATCTCACTTTTTAAAAAAAATTCTCTGCACTTATTTGACAGTTATATTGATAACTGTAATTATTAAATTAGCAGTGCAAAATGAGAAGGTGGTGTGAAGGGATGATAAATGCCTACCTCCATGAAAGATGGTTTCTTCCTTTTACAAAAGTAACTTTCAACTAGCTCTAAGACACAGCAGTTAATTCAGCGAGTTTTGTGAAATTAGCTCTTTTGTTTGAAGTGCCAAGACTCTGCTGGGTCAGACTTCCATTGCAAACTGGTACAAATTACTCACATTTCTTGAGCAGTGTTTTGGGTTTTCTTTGTTCAAATAAATTTGGCCTAAACCAAAATCATCCAGCCACTGGAGAACCGTGAGTCTTCTAGCAAACCTCAGCACTTGTGCTGTGTAGCACATCACCTAATGGGATGTTGCAATCCACACCTATCTGTACAGAAGGTACTATTAAGCTATTCTACAGCAAGTGAACACAAGCTAAACTGTTTCAGCATGAGATCAGAAAGCAGGAGTCTGTGCTGGCCAAACATTTGGTCCACTACACTGATTGTTTCTGTGGCAACTGTACATGGTTTTCAAATCAGAAAATGTTGCTACACATTTGTGAAACATAGACAATACTTGTAGATCAATGCATTCTGCTTACATACTTGGTTTTGACAATAAGGTTATCATACTGGATTTGCATATCAGAAAAAGATTACAAAAATGTAGTTTATTGTCTTGAAACCCTCTACACAGCAGTCACTTTTACAAACATCTGACTGCTCCATGGTTTAAAAAGAAAGTAAAATAACAGTTACTCATATTAATTTTGTTACACTCACCTTTCCAAAGCACTCAAGGTATATTATCTTACAGAAAAAAACACATTTTCTAAAATAAATTTACAGCATTAAAGGTTTGTTTGGAGATGATCCATGGAACATCAGACAAAGCACATCATTTTACTCCCAGGAGACAGCACAACAGCAAGAGAAATCAGGAGCTCCAGGCTAAAGGCTGGAAAACTCAAACCATTCAACCTTGCCCTCTTCACTGAACATGCAAAGACCACATCTTCAATATCCATACTACATGAAACTTAACGTGCACCTCAAATCTGAAATAGGATTACTGATGAAGATCTAGTTTAATAATTCTATGATTAACTGCAAAGTTACTAATAATTTTCATCAGAATCAACTATAGAAATAAATGGCAAAGTAATCCATTGGCTATCCAAGTCCATTTCTGTTTGAGTGGGCATTTTGTCACTGTTACCGAGGGAAAAGACTCATTCATTAACTGCTCATCAAAGCCTAAGACTGGTACTCACTCGTGAATATGTGTTACAAATCCAAGTGAAGTAACTGGCCAAAGACACAATAGTTGAGTCACTTTCTAAAGATAAATCTTATTTTCCTGTGATCCATTAAAGAGCTTCAAAACTGGCTCAGATAGAAATAAAACTTACATTTTGTTAAAAATAAAGTAGAACTTGGCAAAAACCCTACTAAAGAAAATTTTGCTAAAGAAAATCATGCTGCACTTGTTGCTGTCTGAATATGGAACATTCTTTGAAAATAACAAAACAACAAAAACAAAGCAAAACCCTAAAGAAACTCCAAAATCAGTCTGGATTTGAAGAAATGTACAAACATATGCTACTTAATTTTTACAAGATCACATGACAAGTTTTTCTAAAACTGCTCAATTTAGCATTTTACACTTACAAAAAGCAAAGATGACTACAAGTGACTCAAGGCTGTTAATTTATTTTTAATTATTGTTCTTATTTTTTTCTCCAACAGAAAAAGCAGGAAAGACTAGAATCAATGTGCAAATCATGCATCCACGCTAACTGCTTAAATTAATTTTCTTATCCACATTCAGAATTAAAATATGAGACACACTGAAATGCGATGTATCATGAACTTGAATTAATATTTACAATAAAAAAACTCATTGATGATAAACTGCCTGGTATATTTCAGAACAGGAAAGCTGAGTCTGAAAAGCAATATTTGTAAAATATTCCTGCAAGAATTTTATTTCATGCTCAATTGAAATGATATTGTGATGTCACCTGGCTGAGGAATCAGGGCAGCTTGGAGATCATCATCAGAGCTGGGGTTTCCAAGATCCCAGTCCAACCTTTGTTTATATTTTGGCTGCACCCACAACAAATATACTCAAAATTACACCCTTTGCATTTGGTGAATAGAGTGACCCAGTTTCATTGGACTCTTACTGTTCTGAATGGCCATATTGATCTCTTGTGCTGGGGCCTAGCGGCATGGCCGCGCCTGCCGGCACAACTTCACTTCGGTCTATACAGGCCATTTGTCCTCTCATGCCACTCTGTGGAAAGGCATTTCCAACCTCCCTTCCCCCTTGTCATTCAAGCAGTGGCAGGTTTCATCCTCACTGGGAAGAGTCACAGGTATCTGAGGTACACACAACTAGCAGTTAATTCCTCACCTACGGAATAACTTTGTTAAATTAAACAAACAACATAACTCTCCCTCCTATCCCCCCAACAAATTAATCTGTGTTTACTTTTACCTCTGCTTAAAATTTAAAGAAAAATAAGAGTATTTTCAAAGTGGCAAAAACCTGAACATGGTAGGGAAGAAAGTAACAGTCTGATTCCTTTCCTGTCGCAGTCCTGACTGACCAAGTCTGCTCTGAGAAACCACAAGTCTCTCCTCACACAGCAGAGGAGGATCAAGCTACCACGTAGATTTGCTCCTCCCCTCCACCAAATACAAGAAAAAGTGAAAATATTCTAGCACTGGGCCAATAACAAGGTTACAGGGCTGCAGCAGATGTTATACCAGGAGAGTGTGAGGAAATGGGAGGATTTTTTTAACTGAGAGAAGGCTAAGGTAGGATATAAGAGC